CAATATATAGAGAAACAATAACTCAGGCATGGTGCGCATGCCTGTAGTCAGCCACTTGGAAGCTGAGGCAGTTAGGATGCTTGAGCCCAGGAGATTGAGGTCTGCTGGAGCTAGGCTGATCCAAGCACTCACGTTAGCCGGCAGCAAAAGCAAACTTACTATCTCAAAATAAAAAAAATAGAAAAAACAAAAAACAACATTCAGCAGTGCCTCAGCCTCCCCTTTTCTACTCTTGTATCTATTGACATTTTTTTTTCTAGGAAATTAAAAGAGTACAAACATTTTATATCTTTGCCTCTCCTTATCGACAAGTTAATAAACCTTTTTCAGACTATTTCCTCTTTTGTCAAATGGAAATGAAAAGTGAATTTACCACTTCATAGGATTTTTAAAGCTTGCTACATTTTATTAAGTAGGTATTTGCATTTGGGTGGGGTGTGTGTGAATTCCACCCCAGCAGGTTTTTTTTAATAGGGTTATTGAGATACAGGTCACATACCATACAATTCACCTATTTTTTTTTGAGATAGAGTCTTGCTTTGCTGCCCAGGCTAGAGTGAGTGCCTTGGCATCAGCTTAGGGGCTCACAGGCACCTATTCCTGGGCTCAAGGCCCCATCCTACTGCCTCAGCCTCCCAAGTGGCTGGGACTACAGGGGCATCGCACCATGTCGCGGGTTATTTTTTCCTCCTATATATTTTTAGTTGGCCAATTAATTTCTTTCTATTTTTAGTAGAGACGGGGTCTCGCTCTTGGCTCTTGCTCAGGCTGGTTTCTAACTCCTGACCTTGAGCGATCCTCCCGCCTTGGCCTCACAAGAGAACTAGGATTACAGGCGTGAGCCACCTCGCCTGGCCCTGAATATAAATTTTCTGGTTTGTGGGCCCGCCTTGGCCTCCCAGAGTGCTAGGATTACAGGCTTGAGCCACTGCGCCCAGCCACAATTCACCTATTTAAAATGTACAATTCAGTGCTTTTTAATATGTTCTCAGAGATGTGCAACCATAACCACAATCAATTTTAGAACATTAAAAGAATGTTCACCCCGAAAGAAACCTCTATCCATTAGCAAACACTTCCTATTTCTCTACTAACACCCCCACCACTTAGCTACTTTCTGTCTCTAGATTTGCCTATTTTGGGCATTGCATATAAATAGAATCATAAAATACATGGTCTTTTGTATCTGTCTTTCACTTATGATAATGTTTTCAAGATGTGTCCATGTTGTAACATGTATCATTCTTTTTTATTGCTGAGTAATATGGATATACCACATTTTGATTATCTTTTCATCAGTTACTGTTTCTACTTTTTTTTTTTTTTGAGACAGTGTTACTCCATCATCCAGGCTCAGGTGCAGTGGCCCAATCATAGCTCACTGCTGCCTCAAACTCCTGGGCTTAAGCCATCCTCCCATCTCAGCCTCCTGAGTAGCTGAGATATCAGGTGTAAGCCACCACTCTGGGCTTTTTGGCTCTTTTGAGTAATGCTGCTGTGAACATTCTTGTGCAGGTTTTTGTGTGGACATATTTTTTCATTTCTCTTGTTATATACCTAGGAGTAGAATTGCTGGGTCGTATGATAATTCTGTAGTGAACATTTTGAAGAACTGCCAAACTGTTTTCCAAGTGGCTGCACCATTTTACATTTATGGACATTTCAGCAATGTAAAAGGGTTCCAATTTCTTCCATCCCCACTAACATTTGTTATCTTTTTGATTAAATGCATATTAGTGTGTATAAAGTGGTATCTTGTTTTGCTTTCTATTTCCATAGTGACTAATGATGTTGTACCTCTTTTCATGTGCTTATTGTATACCTTTAGAGATCACAGGATTTTAATAAGACCCTCATGAGTTCATGAATGAAAGTACCTTGAAAACTGAAGAATACTAAAAAGATATGAGGGATTATTAAAATTGCTGAGGCATGTAAGCAATGGGTAGCTTACCTTTTTATTGAACTGGAAAGTAGGTAGCCTCACCATTTCATACCACTGCTGTCACTTCCCCCTAGAGTCAGATAAAAAGCTTTAGTTCTAAAGCTGTTTTTGTCAGTTTTAAAAAGTGCTGATGCTTAGCGTGTTTTGTATTTCACCTTACAGAGTTAATCCTTTACAGCATCCTGGCATCTGTGAGCTTCGTGTGTTCTTTAAATGGAAACCTGGAAAATAGTGATTGATTTACTTGAGTTTATAGTGACCAGTGATAAGCACATTTCCATTCATGTATTCAGTACTGAGAGCCATTCCTTACCCATGTTGGTTCAAAGTAATATCCCCACGATGACATTTTCCCTCTCTCTATTCCTTTTACATAAGTAACTATTTTAAACCTAAATGCAGTGCTTTAGAAAAAAAGGAGTTGAAATTACTTGAATCTATTTTCTGTCTCTTAGGGCAGTCCAACCTGAAGGTTTTCTTATGCTTTGTTTATCGAGACCAGTGGGATTGGTACCACCTGGGATCTTGTTAGAACTGCAAGCTCAGGACCTAATCCAGTCCTATTAAATCAGAATCATTTTAACAACATTACCAACTGATTCATTGCACATTAAGGTTTGAGAAGGCACTGGTCTAGAGGCTTTTAAATACATTTTGTCCTTAATGCTTCTTATCTCCATCATCGTTTTTTTTTTTTTTGTTTTTTTTAGTTTTTGTTGCTGTGTGCATTCGATATACTGGAAGCCCCATCATGCGTTTTTTACCCATACCTTACTTGAACTCATATTACTAAGTAAAGAACAATATGGTAAGTTTTGCCAAGTGAATTCATCAGCTCTGATCTTCTTATCGTGATCCATAGTAAGCCGAAAAAACGAAATTATCTGTAATCTCTGAGATTGTTCCAAATTCTAACTGTAAATAGAAGTTCGTTTCTACATCCCAAATATTTTGCTTGGTAACACAGCATCTTGAAATGTAATTAATATCTATATTACCAATACAAAAGTGTTCAGATTCAGTTTTTTAAAAAATATACACAATGATTACATCTGAACCTTCCTTATAAGTCGTTTAGACGCCTGTTAAGAATTTAATTTATTTAAGCCTGGCCATAGATTTTTCGTGGAGCGCAACCCAACCAAATATTTAGGATTAGAACTTCTAGTTGATTCTTTGACTTTGTATGAGAGTTTATTGATTCTCCCTTCTTCCTTGTGTTTTAAATATCCAGCCTTTATCTATGAAGGAGCAGTGAATGGTTTAGTGACCTAGATAGTTCAAGTAAATATAC